TCAGTTGCGTTATGAGATTTAAAGTTTATGAAATTTTTTTTATATTCTTATCGATTTCGTTTATTTTCTTCAGATTGAAAAATTCATCAAAGAGTAACCAATCAGATTTTTTTAAAATAAACAATCCAACAAGAAAAAAGATAGATAGCACATTAACAGATAAAAAGGTTTAATTATATTTGTTTTTATACATTTTTTTTTATTTAGTTGTAGTTCAATAAGAATTTGTGTGTATTGTTACATGAATTTGTGTGTATTATATTTGTTATATGTTTTTAAAAGCGTAAATTTGTGTGTATTATATTTGTTAGATATTTTTAAAAGTGTAAAGTAAACAGCATCTCTTTATGAAAAAACAAAATCGATGGTAGGTAAGCAGTTCATAAAATTGGGTTTAAGCAACCGAAAGATAGTTTTGTTTGAGTGTAGAAAGAACGATGTACATAATTTTTTATACTGAATATTAGTTAATTAAATACTTGTAAAAAGAAGATAAAAAATTTATGATTTTTTAACTATTTTTATGTTGAAAGTTATAGTTTTTGTATCTATAAATATTTTACATGAGTTTTTGCTTGAAAAATAATGTTAAAAGTGAGAATCAGAAGGAATTTAATCAAACTTATTAAATGAGGCTTTACCATTCAAACAAAAATAAACATGTTTAACCATGTACATACCAGAAACCTCTGATCCTTCAATATTTTATAAAATTTATTTGAAAGATTTGACCTCTTCCTGAAAAAATATAATATCTGGAGTATCCATTTATCATTTTAAGTTATCAAATAACTTGTTTTGAAAGTCATATTGCTGGACATTATGTTGTAAAAGTTCAGTAGTTACATCGTTAAAGTTAATTTAAAAGTTCAGTAGTTACATCGTTAAAGTTAATTTAAAAGTTCAGTAGTTACATCGTTAAAGTTAATTTAAAAGTTCAGTAGTTACATCGTTAAAGTTAATTTAAAAGTTCAGTAGTTACATCGTTAAAGTTAATTTAAAAGTTCAGTAGTTACATCGTTAAAGTTAATTTAAAAGTTCAGTAGTTACATCGTTAAAGTTAATTTAAAAGTTCAGTAGTTACATCGTTAAAGTTAATTTAAAAGTTCAGTAGTTACATCGTTAAAGTTAATTTAAAAGTTCAGTAGTTACATCGTTAAAGTTAATTTAAAAGTTTAGTAGTTACATCGTTAAAGTTAATTTAAAAGTTCAGTAGTTACATCGTTAAAGTTAATTTAAAAGTTCAGTAGTTACATCGTTAAAGTTAATTTAAAAGTTCAGTAGTTACATCGTTAAAGTTAATTTAAAAGTTCAGTAGTTACATCGTTAAAGTTAATTTAAAAGTTCAGTAGTTACATCGTTAAAGTTAATTTAAAAGTTCAGTAGTTACATCGTTAAAGTTAATTTAAAAGTTCAGTAGTTACATCGTTAAAGTTAATTTAAAAGTTCAGTAGTTACATCGTTAAAGTTAATTTAAAAGTTCAGTAGTTACATCGTTAAAGTTAATTTAAAAGTTCAGTAGTTACATCGTTAAAGTTAATTTAAAAGTTCAGTAGTTACATCGTTAAAGTTAATTTAAAAGTTCAGTAGTTACATCGTTAAAGTTAATTACTCTTGTTTATCTTGTATTTAATTTTAAAGCAGTCATACGTTAATAATTTATCTGTTATTTTGAACGTCGTGAATAAAATATATTATTCTGTTATTATGACCCTCGTAAATCAAGTTTTATTTTTATGTTATTTGTTGTATTTGTTAATAAAACTTATTTTTTCTATAAAAATTTACTTTAAAGGATTTTGTTTTTTTATTGTGCTTAAAAAGATTTTGTGCTTTTATTGTACGATTTAGTAATTTTCTTGAAATACTTTATGGTGAAATTGTGTGTATTATAAATTTTTTTATTTGTAAGATTGTCACAATTTGTTAGACATATTCTTGCAAATAATCTATTTTCTTTCTACTATAAAAGAAAAACTGTATTGTAACTGTATTATCTGTATTATACGCTTGAAAATTTGAATAGTTGTGCATTACCAATATACGTTGTTTAGGTTGAAAAAATATTGAAGGTCACCAATAGTAAACAAATTTGGAATGTTACAAATGTTGAAAAAGAAATATTTGAGGATGGAAGCTAAGCCAGACTTGGTAAAAATAATTGTGATTTTTTATTATTACTTAAACATTTTTTACTAATACATTTGTTATAGACTTTATATATTTATCATTTGTTATAGACTGATTATAATAAACTATTAATGAAGTTTTATTATAAACAAAATCACTTTTAAAACAAAAACACTTTTGATAATTAATCTATTAGATAAGAAATACTCAAATAGTTTTTGACGTTTTAAAAAATATTTTAATTTTAACTGTTTATAAAATGTCAATTTTTTAAATTTATTTCTTTAGCTTCTTGAGTTAACAATGAAGATTTAATGTAAAAAAACTTTAATTGAGGTCCTACTTATCTACCTGCCGTGGCCTCACCCAATTAAAAAAGTTTGATGTCTAGATATTTGTTTTAGAAAATATATTATACACACGCACAGCATAAATGTATATATGTGTGTGCGTATTTTATAAATATGTTGTATATAACTATGTTAAATTAATTTATTATTTTTAAATTTTAATATTTATACACACACCCACATACACACACGCACACACACGCATATGTATATATATATATATATATATATATATATATATATATATATATATATATATATATATATATATATATATATATATATATATATATATATATATATATATATATATATATATTAGCGTGGTTCAAAATACAACTTTTTTTAAAATAGTCTGCTGCTTTTAATTAAATGTGTTCTATATAATACAAAAACTCTAGGCTTAAAATGTTTTTGAATAAAAATTTGTTTCTTGAACCACCCTAATATATATATATATATATATATATATATATATATATATATATATATATATATATATATATATATATATATATATATATATATATATATATATATATATATATATATATATTAGCGTGGTTCAAAATACAACTTTTTTTAAAATAGTCTGCTGCTTTTAATTAAATGTGTTCTATATAATACAAAAACTCTAGGCTTAAAATGTTTTTGAATAAAAATTTGTTTATTGAACCACCCTAATATATATATATATATATATATATATATATATATATATATATATATATATATATATATATATGCACACGATTATATATGTGCGTGTGTTGTATATATTTGTATAATATATTGTTATATTGTATTATAATATTAATATATTGTTTAAATTTTTTCTTTTTTAAATATTGTTTTGAGAAAGTTTTTATCAAGGTCGGTGGCTATTTACATGCCTCTATATTTTAGAATTTAATTAGACGTGTTACATTTTTATAAAGAGAAGACATTATTGGACTCATAAGTACTTGTTTTTTTGGTTGAAAGGGAAGAGAGCGAGCCATCTAGCCACGTTACTGTTTTTTACTTGAGATGATATATTGAAATATTGCACATAAATATATATAAATATAAAAAATAATCGCGTTTTTAACTTTTAAATTTCGTCCTCTTTCGTCCTTTTTCGTCCTTTTAAGTACAGGCCTGTAAACCATATATATATATATATATATATATATATATATATATATATATATATATATATATATATATATATATATATATATATATATATATATATATATATATATATATATATATATATATATATATATATATATATATATATATATATATATATATATATATATATATATATATATATATATATATATATATATATATATATATATATGCTTCGCGCGAATATTTCGTCTTGTGGAAAACGGCCTTTAATCATTCGTGTTAGAGAAGTGGCGAGAAGTTTTGCCTATATAGTAGGGTTTACATCATGCGCGTACAAATTTATAAACGACGGATGATTAACTAAGTTAACTGCAAAAACGAAATATTTATGAGCAAATCAAATTATGAAAGAAAATTCGTATATATAAAAACTTGTTGCTATGTATTTAATAGCACTCCGTATACTTCACATAAAAACAATTTTTTTAAATTTATTTTTATTGATGTGAGCGAAGTTAAAGTTGTAGAATTGTTTATTTAAATTTGAATTAAAAAAAAATTGCTGAGAAAATCATAAATATGACTTTAACGAAGTTTATATTTAAACGGTTTAGATATAAATTAGAGAAGACAGGCTTATGATAACGTTGTCGTCACGACGGGTAAGCGCGGTATTTACTCAAATAATTTTTACATTTTTAGCAGCTTGAAAAAAGTGGCATATGAAGAAGAAAATTGTAAAACAAGATCAAATGCTGGTCGTATTTAAATGTTAGTCATTTTAATGCGACCTTTTTCCCTTCTATTTTATCTCAGTTTATTGGAAATTATTTTCGAAATTAATGACATGCAAAAATACTTTTAAATAAAATGACTAAATGTTTATAAAATCGAATATAAAATTAAATTCTTTGCAAACCTTTTTTAAGAAAGAGATTTGTTAATACAATTAATTTGTTAATGCTTTAATACAATTAATTTGTTAATGCTTTAATACAATTAATTTGTTAATGCTTTAATACAATTAGTTAATTACAAAAGACTTATAGCATAAAAAAACTTGTAAAAAGTGAGAGATCAACAAAACGTCGTGTTATAAGCAATAAAAACGTGAGTGGATAAAACGTCGTGTTATAAGCTATAAAAACGTGAGTGGATAAAATCCAGACTGATGAACAAAAGGCATCATAAAGAAGATTAGAAATTCTTTGGCAGCTTGAAGAAAAATACTTTCATCGTTTGATGCGAAACGCAGGAACAGGGGTAATGGAAAAACTCTTTTTTCTTCTTTTTAGACATCTACTAGTTTGGCTCATCGGGACAGATGGCAGAAGAAATGTTACTCTAATTAGAATAAAGTAATAGCTTTAAGCCGACAACAAAAATGATTCACGATTTGAGTAAAATATTTACTCCTAAGAAGATGATGGGCAATCTACTGTTGATTTTGTGATAAAAGATTCCTTATTTACTCCTAAGAAGATGATGGGCAATCTACTGTTGATTTTGTGATAAAAGATTCCTTATTTACTCCTAAGAAGATGATGGGCAATCTACTGTTGATTTTGTGATAAAAGATTCCTTATTTACTCCTAAGAAGATGATGGGCAATCTACTGTTGATTTTGTGATAAAAGATTCCTTATTTACTCCTAAGAAGATGATGGGCAATCTACTGTTGATTTTGTGATAAAAGATTTATTGCTCTGATTACTTTTAATCACACTGCAACGATCGGATGACCGTTGATAGCAGATATTTAGTCTGATCTACAAACAGGGATGGATCTATCATTTTTTGGTCTTTAAAGAAGCTAACTTCCCGACATGAAGCAAACTCCAAACATTTATATGTTTATACTTATGTCAAATAATTTGCAAAAAAATTGCGATGATTGGAGTCTGGGAACAAAAAAGCCCTAAAATTTTTGACATTCTTTGTTCTAAACGTGAGAGCAACAAGTTGATGAAATATTTTTTTGTACTATTTTCAACTAGACTCATATTCGTTAATAAATTTCATAGTAAAATACTTTAGCGTTCAAAAGTTATGACCCCATTAATTTGAGGGGATTGCAAGTTTTATATGGTCATAATTTTTGAACGCTGAGAAATTTTACTATGAATTTTAAAATTTCACGATGAATATAAGTCTAGTTGAAAATAGTACAAAAAATATTTAATCAACTTGTTGCACGTTCGGGGCAGAAGGGGCGTAAATTTTGGGGGTTTTTTGTTCCCAGGCTCTATAAGCTTTCAAGAATTATTCTGCCTGATTTCTAAAGATATATCTGTTACCGTAAAATCGCCTGAGTTCTGTCACCATGTAACTTCGGTCATTTAAGAAAAAATATAAAAAAGCATGCAATTTTTCAAATTTTTTAAACTTTTTTTTGCGTGAATAATATTTGTTATTACTTTGTAAATATAAATCTATAGAAAAAAAATATTAATGTTTGTTTGCAACCTGATGAAATAATCTTTTAGCAAAACAACAATTCGAAAAAATGCATGCTATTAAAATCTAAAATAAGCAAATTAATAAAACAATTGATCAAGTTTAACCTGAGTATTATTAAGAATCACCAAATTAGTTATATTTACAAAAAAAAAATTTTAATTTTGAATATTTATTACTTTTTTTTTGAAAATTAGTGAATTTTTAAAATACTCTAACTTCGGTCATTCATGAATAAATAACGAAGAAGACAATTAGCAGGAATATTGTAAAATGTTCACAAGTTCATATGATGAAAATGGATTGTTAAACACAAGTTCATATGATGAAATGAACTTGTGTTGCCATTGCGTAAATTTACAGGTAAAATTAGTAAATACATTAAACAGTAAATGCATCTATATCATCTATGGATTTACGTAAAAATGCTCGTGATTTGAAGGCTGTGGATAAAGGTACGAGTAAAAGGAAAGCAACTACAAAATTTGGCTTCAAAAGATCACCTTTCATCAACAGGTGTATCGGCAAGTATACTAAAAAAAATGGCAAATCAACTAAGTTGAGCGACAACATCAAGGATATTTAATAAAAATTTTAGTATTTATGAGTGATTTTGGTTTTAGTTTGACTAAACTTGAAATACCGTGTGTTGTTAATAACTACTTGGTTAATTAAAATCAAATCAACACTATCCTGGTATTACTCATTTATTAAACATCATTATAATGAGCTATCGCTCAGAACCTCAAATAATATGCCGTCAAACCGTGCAATGTCGACTCAGCCGTCAAACCGTGCAATGTCGACACAGCCGTCAAACCGTGCAATGACTCAGCCACTATTGATTGATGGTATTTATTACAATTATATTTTTATACGTAAGTAAATTTTATAATAAATTGTTTTCTAATAATAAAAAAGGCGCAATTTTTAAAAGGTAAAAATCAATTTGTTGCTAAAGTTACAGCAATTTAATAACCTACCTTATAATTTAAAAAAATTTTTAAATCAAGGTTTGCGCAAGTTTCTGATATGTACAATAAACATGGATTTGCAACTAAGCCATTCTATATTTTTAATTTCAATGAATCTGGTCTTTAATGTGATCAAGACAAATTGTGTGTCGGAAATGTTCAAATGGGTCTAAAAAACTTTGCAGTAGCAACGAAAAGGCTCTAGTCATATTACTCATTTGCTGTGATGCTGTTGGGACATTCTTGCCTGTTCATATTTTATTCCAAGGCCAAATGTATTTATAATAATTTTGGGTATAAATTTTAAGAAGCATTTAAAACAGATGTACGGAAAACTTCGCATTTAAAAAACTTTGAATTGAAAATATTATTTAATTATTTGAATTTTAAGATTGATGTCCATTGTGTTACCAATGGTGTCATGCAATCTGGCTGGATAGAAGGACCTGCTTTGGCTGGATTGTTTGA